ATTGGAGAATGATCCAATTACTCTAAGAGTAAGTTTTTTAAACTTACTTCATATCTTAAACCATCAATTATAGGATATCTAATGGTTTAGATCTCTACTCACTAATTTAAACCATTGAATTTCCCTATAATTGATGGTTAAGATGTGGAGTAAAAAACTTACTCTTGGAGTAAGTGAATATCTTCCATTTCTAATAATAACATGAAAATGGTAGTTTAGCTACAATTGCAACTCTTTAATGATATTTCTAATAGGGAAAATTGCACAAAGCTCCCTTAAATTTTATGTTTTTTGAAAGTAGGTACAATGAACTATTTGTTTCCTAATTTTTACCTCTTAAATTTTATCATTTGGTGAAATTGTTCCACTTATAAATTTATTGTTAAACTACTCATAGATAAAAGTAAATTGTAGTAACAAATCATAATAATATGAATATAATAATGCATGTTAGACAATATTGATATTCAAAAGAAAATGCAATTAAAATATAAAATTGATTGAGCATGAGAAAATAAGTAGATTGTAGAGGTAAAATTGATTAATACAGTAATATTATTATATATACAAAAATAAAATAAACAACCCGGATTAAAAAAATACACGAGTTAAAAAATTTCATTGTTTTTAATTTAACATTATCTTTATGTATGTACCAATTTCACCAATAATTAAAGTTTAATGGTTAAATAGGAAAAAAAACAATTCATAGATCTATTTTAATAGGCATAAAGTATAGGATGTTTTTTATAAACTTTTCCGTTTTTAATTTAATTGATCTATTTCAATTTAAACACATAATAATAGTAGTTTAGCTACAATTGTCACTTCTATCGTCTATTTTTCTACCAAATTTATTCACTAATGGAGTAGTATTTTTAAGCCATAATTTAAATACGTAAATTATACCATGTCCAATATTAGAAGTACTCTTTCATGTATTCACGACAAGCAACAAAATGTCACAACAATCTTTCACTCTAAAAACTTACCATCGTAAATCTTATCTAATATCTATACACAATGAGCTCTGGCCCAATTACATCATGAAAGCTATCATAAGATCTCTAGAATGGCATAGCCCTAAACAACCTTATAGTTTAGGCATGCAAATATTATGACCATAAATTATAATTACGTAAGTCTCCCCAACAACATCACAATTACAATTGTGGGTGCCTGAATAAAAGCTTATTGTTATATTTCGATTTAAAACACATCACTATGTTATCATTTCATGTGATCCTTGTCAAATATAATCTTTCATCCCCTAGGAGGGGGAAATCCAAAAACAACCTTAAAAGATCGATGTAATAACCATCTCCAATTACTTCTTAAATAATATAAGAAGGTTCACAAGTTCAATAAATGGGTTATTTCTTAAGAATATACACAATATGAAGTATAAATATTTTATTATTATATATACTAGCGTGTTAACAAACACTACCGTTTCTGTTAACTCGTTTTATATCGTTTGTAATGTGTAGTCTACATATAATGAATGTCTAATATAGTAAAATGTCACTAAGATATGTGATGTTAGATATATGAATTGAAATTTGCTCAAATCATATAATTTTTTCCCTCAATTCATATATTTGATCCTAGTGATTAATTAAAGAAATTAAAGTAATTTATCATGTTCTATATTCTGCTACAAAAACTGATTGTTACAATGATTTTTCTAAAGAAATAGTTAACCAAATAACATGGTTCCACCATGGTGGGTGGTTACATTGAGTTTTGGCTTTATTAGTAGTATAGATATATATTAAAAGTGTATATAAAGTAATTTAAATAAATAAAATAATGTGAACTAAATAAATAATAGTTGTTTCAAGAATCTTAAGAATTTCAAAACATGGAGTAAAATTAAGAGTTTTATATTTTATCAGAAAATAAGAATTGTTGATAGTAGGGGTGACAAAATGGGCCCGCCCGGTCCGACCCTGTCCGGCCCGCCTTTGGCCCGTCAAAATATGGGTTGGGTTGGCTTGGCCCTTATTGCTAAAAGGGCTCAAAATGCCAGCCCGACCAATATTTGGCCGGGCTGGCCCGTTTTTATTTTTCTTTTCAAAAACACATTTAAATTACGCTGATATTCCATGCGTCTTAGGGAAATTATACAAACTATCCTTCCATTTTCTACGCTTACAAAAAACCCTTAATTTATAAACATACATTAAATTGATCAACCATGTATGAGAGGTGTAATTTTTTAAACAAAAAAGTGATAAATGTAATTATGTTAAACAAAATATGATATATGATATAAATTAAACACTAATATGTAAATGTTTTGTATTGTATATGATATAAATTACATTGATAGGAAATTTACTCATAAATATGTTATATATGAATAATAAATTGGTTGCACAAGGTATGTGTAAAATGTTCGGTTGGAAAACAATATTAAATTGACTACATTATTGGAATCACATGTAACCTTAAAATGATAAATCAATATTAATGTTGGCCGGACGGGATAGCCCGGTCCGGCCCGCCTTGGCCCGTCTAAAAAACGGACTTCCAAATCGGGTTGAATATGGGCTTTTGGGCTAAAATCTCTAGTCCGGCCCACCAAAAATGTCGATCAAAACGGGCTAGCCCAACGGGCCAAGCCCATATTGCCATCCCTAGCTGATAGGATAGAGTCTAGAGAATCTAATTAGTATACATTATGATGCTCTTAGGATGGGTTTAGGTAAAACAAAATGGTTTGATGAATATTTATAGCCTTTATTATTTGGGTTGTTTTTTCTTTTGAATTACTTAAAAATGTTTTTAATTTGGTCCTCATATATATATATATATATATATATATATATAACATTGTAAGATTTTACTATCCAAAAGAAAATCAACTTCATAAGAATTTTCAGACAATATAGAACTTAGATATTCAATATCATTTCCCTATATCCAACTCAATACTACCGATAACAATTTGATAAATATGTGTTAAATAAAATTAAGTTAATTTTTAAATTAAATAATATTACACATGACAATATTTAATTGGTCGTGATGATTTCGGTTACGCCTTATAAACCTAAAAAATGCTTTCTCGGCCCGACCTACCTAACTCTCTGATTTTGGTGGTCCCGACTTGGCCTAGCACCCTACAACTCGCATTAATCATGGGCCGCCTCATAAATTGTATTATTGGAACATGAAAAGGTTATTCCTTAATGAAACAACCAATACATTGCATTTAGTAATTTCATTTTTTCACATTTTTCCATTTTCCTATGTGTCCTAAAGATAGTAAAATTCAAAAGCTTTTCGTATATCAATAATGTGTTTGTCTAGTGGTGTATGACTCTATTAGATTTTTAGGATGACTAAAATGTCAAAAGTTCGATTACTGTGAGTAACACTCGTTAGGATGAGTATCTGTACACTTCGAAAGAGATTAGTTCTTTAACTATGAGTAAATACTCTTGGTAGGAAAAAAAATCTTTTGATGTCACCCTCCTCTATCCCTTTTCAATTCCCTCATTGATTCCACTCCTTACGGCATCTACAATTGTCATCCATTACATTTATTCTATTTTCTCGTTTTTCCAATTTCATATGTCCTAAGATAGTAAGATTCAAAAGGGTCATTCCCCATCCTTGTTCAATTCCCTCATGGATGTCGTTACTTATGGAAACGGTTATTCTCATGTTCTTAAAAAAATTAGATATATTTTTTTTTATAAGTAAAAATGTATTAACATTTTTTTTTGGGCCAAGTCTAATATACGAACTGCTATTTAGTTCGCATGGATGCGAAATAATTTCTAACTGTTGGATGAAAACTTTTGATAACTGGCTACCTTTTTTCAACCCGCGTGAAGTCGGTATTGTAAGGATTAACTTCAGAACTGAAGTAATGTTAGGGGACACTGACTTCGTCATGGAAGTCGGGTTAAGTGATGGACACTTCTTCATTGAAGTGTTGTTAGAGGGTACCGACTTCTTTGGAGAAGTTGGTTTATAGGTCAGTAACAAATTCTGATGATGTTTTAAAGTGTACCGACTTCATTTAATGATAGTTTTATTTGTTTATACCGACTTCACTTTTTGTATTTATAAAAGAAGTTTAATACACACATTGCGCTTCGTTGCTGTATGCGAAAATTTATTTTACAACAAAGACATTCAAGAGGTGAAAAGTGTAACACCCAAAATTTGAGTCTTTAACATTATAGTATCAGTCCTGGAATCCTCGTTTGAGCGAGAGATTCTCGCCTGGGCGAGAAAAGCTCACCTGGGAGGGTGAAATCCTGGGCTATACTGGAGGATTCTCGCCTGAGCGAGAGTTGTTTCGCCTAGGCGAGAAATGGAATTTTGGGACTGTTGATACTGTGAGATTCTCGCTTGAGCGAATCCCTCGCTTGAGCGAGAGGGTCAGATCTGAGTTTTTAAAAATAGGCGGGATTTTCTCGCTTGAGCGAGAAAGGACTCGCTTAAGCGAGAACCCGACGAGTTGTATTAAATGATAAACCCCCAAACACAACCTAGGGTTTAGAAAAGAAGAAGGGTGAGAGAAGAGAGCTTTTTCAAGGACAAGAAGCTTGGATACTCATCTAAGAGCTTGAGAAGAGGTAAAACTCTTGATTCTAACTCTCTTCTTCTCTTTAAAACCTATTTTGGGTATGTTGGATCTCTTCTCAAAAATGAAGGAAACCATGGAAACTCATCCTTTTGAGTTATGGTTCGTTTTATGTTATTTCTCTCTTACAACTCTTGGTTTAGAGTTAGTATTTCAAGAATGGAAAGGGTTATGGGTTGATTCATGAAAACCCCAAAACCCTAAAGAGAAAATGTGGTTGAAATGGGTAAAATGCTAGAGGTAGAAGATGATTATGTATGTTTTGAATGGTTGTAAGCTTATGATAAAAGTAGTTTAACAACATTGAAAATATGATGAAATATCTTGTATGGTTAAATAATGCAATATAAGTTGTTTATATAATATTTGGAATAAATGACTAACATTGTGTTATATGGTGGGAATGATAAAAGATCCTAGAGTTGGCGGCGGTGTCGGTGGAACTTGTGAAGTTGCCAAAAACCAAACCCAACACTCACTGAGGTAAGGATAAGTCTTTATTGGTGCATTTGGAATAGAAAATGTGTGTATTTTCTGGTTATGCAATGATTGAGTTGTGAATTACGCGTTTAGTATAAACATATATGGGTGTGTTTATACTAAAGTGGGCGTAGATTTACCGGAAATGGAAAATGTGTGTATTTTCTGGTTACGCAATGATTGAGTTGTGAATTACGCATTTAGTATGAACATATATGGGTGTGTTTATACTAAAGTAGGCGTAGATTTACGGAAGATGGAAAATGTGTGTATTTTCTGGTCAAGCAATAATTATACTGTGAATCACGTGTTTAGTATAAACATATATGGGTGTGTTTGTACTAAAGATAGCGTGGATTTACGAGAAATGATTGATGGTGAATTCAATGAAAAGAAAATATATTTTTAGCCGACCCTAAATGGTTAGCGACTCTGGCTTGAGTATATAAACGAAACTCTGACTTGAGTATATAAGCAAAACTCTGGCTTGAGTATATAAGCGAAACTCTGGCTTGAGTATATAAGCAAAACTCTGACTTGATTATATAAGCAAAAATCCGGCTCGAGTATATGTAGCATGTTTTCTTCTAAAAGAAATGAGAATCTGCTTTTAGCTAATCCTGAGGGGTGTAGCGACTTTGGCTCAAGTTATGCAGCAAAGTAAAATGAATTTCAAAATGGATTACTAACCCTTTTCTAATGTGGATTATCTTATAATGATGTTTATTGAATTAACGACTTACTCCTTTGTATGTTTGTGTACTTGTCATTGATAATCTCATTGCAGATAAACAGGTGACATGAGGGGAACTCATTTTTGGGGAGCTTAGGGAGAGTTATATTTTGGTTTTATTCAATTGCACTATCTTGTATATGAGTGCATAGTTGATAGTTTAAGACATTATGTAACTATGGATATATATTTGCTAACATGAGGGTGTAACTCTGGACATGTGTAACTATGAGTATTTTGGAAACTCATAGCTAGTTATATGCGGTGATTACTAATCTGCATAAATGAATGAATTATGTTTTTCCGCAACATGAATTGCATGATAATATAATAGGTTAAAAGATTAGTGTCAAGGAATGATTCATGAAGGTTTTTCAGTAAAATAATGAATGTATGTAAGGAAAAAATTTAAATAAATGAAAAAATTTCAATTGTAGAATTTGGGTCCTTATAAAAAGACCCAAAACAAAATTAATGTGGGTCGGCCTAATATGTACAGAAGTCAATGAGGCCCAAATCGACTTCTGTACGGGTCAATGTCACCACTTCTTTCTCCGACTTCTGTACGAGCCAAAGTTAACAAGGCCCAAATCGACTTCTACTTTTCGGATGTCGACCTGGCCCAAACCGACTTCTTCATAATAAATTAACCGGTAACACAATCAACGGCTGAGATTAAATAATTATAATCCAAAAGTTTTAAAGCAAGTTCGCACCCATGCGAACTAATCATCCGTTTGCATATTAGATTTGACCTTTTTTTTATATATTTCTTAATATTTTGTTAGATACTATCATCTCTTAAGAACACTATTGCTTGAACACGTCAAAGGGACATTCATATAAATACACAGACGTAATGATTTTGTATTGAAATATATCATATTTTAGGTAGACAAGCATGTCACATACAAATGTGGTAAATATCATTTCAATATCGATTTTAATTTGTTCTACACGTAAAGCAATTGTCCATATTTCCTATATAATAGTCCATCACCATTCACCACTCAAGTGTGCATCATAAATGGACCAACAATTACCAAATTGACAACTCTACTCATTTATTGAATAATTTATAATGTGACCAAACATATGCAGCTAATGTTTGAGCAACATCAGATAAACCTAATGGCTAATAAGTGTGAGGATATTTTGGCATAAACACCCCATGTTACAGACCAGAGTCAATTCGATGTTAATAGCCTCTCAGCTTCCATTGTTACTTTATCTTTTAATAGATTTTAACTTCTGGTTAGCTTTTTCCTGCAATAACTTTTTCTAGTATCTTGAATGATTTTGGTATTTTAGACAAAAACAAGTTTATAGCTACACGTTCTTAGTATATAGCTATAAGTTTGTAACTTATTTTAAAATAACTGAAATTATGTATGTCATAATAGATTAATACTATGGTTAAATGATTATATTGATATTGAAATTGTTCTAATTCTGCAAGAGTTAATCGATTAAATGTTAGTTGCTTTTTGTTGATTAGTTAGGTAATGTAATATATAAATGGTGATTCCATTAATCCTTATAATTTAATTCAATAAGGATAAATTCAATTCAATGAGAAATAAAATTTCTATTCTTTTTTTCATTCTTCAAGTTTTCATTTCTCATTCATGCATTCTCTTATACTTCTTGATTTGTAAAGAAGATTTCTTCATGACTCATACTAAAATTTAATAGCTTAAACGTGTGTAAGAATGTCATTAAACAGAAATATTCAGTAAAAATAGTTGTGCAATAAATTTAAATTCATTGAATGACTAAAAATGATATACAATATTCATTTATTTATTTATTAGTTGTTTAGTTATTTATAAATTAGCTTATAGTTATTAATTGAATTAATTAAATATATAGATAATTAAAAATCACATTTTCCACTCAAGTATTCTAATGTTTCTCTTTCGTAAACTCCAACTATGTATTAATTATATATGTTCACATGAATTCATGAAATTAGCTTTGCTATACTTCACCTTTATAATAAAAATAATTCAACACATGCAAGATTAGTGCAAGGATAATTGTAATGGTGAGGAGATGGAGGATTAGTAGTGGGGGTAATTAATGAATTTTGATAAAATTTCAAAGGGTAGAACTAATGAGAAATTATTGCAAACTCTTATGGTTTTTGGGAGTAGTTTTCTAAAGTTAGTTTTCAAGCATTACCACTATCTTTTTAAAAGCTACAAACTTACTTTATTTTTTATAAGTTCGTGTTGCTGAATAGTACATTTAATGACATTACTACCTTTTTTCTTTCTTATGCAGGACGATGCTAAATGATAATATCATATATATATATATATATATATATATATATATTAGAATATATGATATTATCTTAGAATATATTAAGTTTATTATGATTTGTTTGTTATTTAATTAGGAGTATGATATTAGTATAAATATGAGTTAATCGTAAGCCTTTTGAAATAATCAAATAAACATAATATTATCATTTCTACTACTATACAATTTACTATTTTGAGCATTTTATTTTCTCCTTCTATACCTCAACCCTATAATTTTAACAAATATCATATATGAATACACCATTCAGCATCAAGTACAACATTTTCTACAAGAACTAGGGTATGGGTCCCATAATATGAATTCAAAATTAACGAATATAAAGTCAAATATGTTTATACAACATAAGATATAAGAAATTTTAGGTAATATGTAATGTTTAGATGTGTTTATGGTTATTATTATAAGTAGCCAAATTAAAGTGATCTACTTCAAGTAAGGTTCATGGCTATAAACATAATTATCATGAAAATTATTGTGTAGATACCTAAAGTCTTATTTCTATTTTATGATGGGCAAAATCGGAAATAAGAAAATCAAAAGACATCACCCTTCATGAAAGGGAATGCATTTCTTATAAATAGAGGTTATGGTCCCCAATTGTGACCACTACAACACAACCACAAAATAACTATTCTCTTCATCCCATTAGAGGAGAAACTAAGGCTAAGGGTGGTATACAATTGGAAGATCAACAAACCTACATGTTCTACTATGAACATGCATGTATTTGCATACAAGGATAAAGGAGAGCATTAGGATACAAAGATATGAAGTTGATGGATACATGACAAAGAATGGTATAAGGTTCATTCACCATATTCTATATGAATATATATTAAGGTACGCTTCCGCTCAAGTTATAGTTTTATACATTTATTCTTGATGATTTGACATGAAAGATCTTGTCTATATATATGATGATATTGTTTATCATCTTTGATATGTATTATGTATCTTTAGTATATATAAAAGTCTCTCACATTATTAAAGTCTATACAATAAAGATTTATCCTACATAAGATTAAGATACAAGGTGTCTTAGGATGATAAGTTGAGGACTAAAATCAGCTGAGATATGAGGATGAAATACTTATCATGTGAATTAGTAAAATTTAACATCATGGTTTGAGCATGGAAAAAAGGAAAAATACCAAGCAAAAATGAAATAGTTTTAAAAGATTAAATATTTAGTATCTTCGTTAATAGAGAGACGAAAACTAAAAAAACAAATGAAATAATAATATGCATGGTAAAACTTTTTATCTTTTAATATATATAATGAAATAACAATTTTATCATTAAAAATATAAGTAAAATTAAATATTTGTCTCTCCATAAATAGAGAGGATCCCTCTTCATTTTGGAATTACTCACATGCACTGTCCAAATTATGAATGTACCCATGATTAGCTACGTGTATTGTTACCCAAAAAATACATGGTATGAGAATATCACTAATTTTGAAGTGACTATGCTTCATAGTTTTTAGGTATCACACCTTTTGTATGATAGACTAATTCCCTCTGAGAATTGTTGTTATCCCTTCTAGAAAATTAAATATTGTTTATAGATTTAACTCGACTTTGTAACCTTATATAATATTTGAGGTTTAATTTTGTCTAACCATTAGACCAACTTTTTGTTGATATATTGTTTAAATAAAAATACAGTTATTTTTAATAAAAATATTTTATTGGTATTCCTTCTATCAATACTAGCGTGTTGACAGGCCCTATCGGGCCTGTCAACCCGCTTTCCTATCGTATGTAACATTTATTTTATACAAAATAAATATTTAATAATAATTAGAATAATAATTTTCATATATTTAACTGCAAATTAAAATATGTAACACAATTATGACATCAAATATTTATTTTGTATAATTTGTCGGAAGGATGATTTAGCAAGTTGACGTATAGACATTAATCTCATTGTTGTCGAATTATCTTTAATATTAATTTTTCAACTCTAAACAAAGTAATCATGTATTTTTTAGTTTAAGGAAATGGTATATAACAAATGTAGTAATGTTTCTATTAGAGTTTAAAGTTGTACGTTGTTCGGTGTTTGTGTTTTCATGAATATTATTTTGATTCGATTGTGCTTCATTACCATTGTTTCGTTCGTAGCGTGTTAAACGTCTTCTTGCTAATTCTTGTTGTCCTTCCTCTATGTTCATGTTGTTCCTTCTCTGTCTAACATATTGTCTTAATCAATATCGTCGTTGTTCTTGTGATTCGCGTCTGCCTGAATTTTCAATTGTCTATAATAACACCTGACATAATGTAAGACATGTATAAAATTAGTGAAAATGTAATAAGGTAGATATTTAGAACGAAAAGAATTACTAATACAAAAACAACCAATGCATTTAACATAAAAACTTTAATGAAATCAATCAACAAAACTTTGTTCTTTTATCCCATGAATTTAACATAAAAATGTTAATAATAGAAAAAAAAAAAACCGTGTTGTTTAAAAATTTTATATATATCTATACATAATCGAAATCACATGAATTTGAAGACGTGTGTAACATAAAAAAAAATTAATGTTTAAAAGTTCACACGAAAAATATATTACACAAAGGTTTAAATTTTAAAAAAAATTGAAACTAAGCCCAACATAAATTTATGTTCTACCTCTTCCTTAAAATTTATACATAATTCTCAAATAAATTACATCACAACAAATTAAGTATAAAATAGTAGAATAACTAAGTCACATGATAATTTAAATTTGAATTATATATATACCTTATCTTAATTTTTCTTATTAATTTTGGGCTTCATCGAAGGCAAAAAAAAAAAAAAGATAAATTTGATTTGAAAATTATAATATCAACATTATTAATAATCATTAAGAGTATTTTATTAGATAT